CACCACCTCTATCACTTCTTATCATTTTGACTTTCTTGTTAAGTTGTGTTTCAACTTCATTTTTATATTGCCTGAATGCGTCTATTGCTTCATCTTTACTATTAAGTAAGTAAACATAGCAATATCGAGTACTGTCGTCAATAAAAGTTATGAAATACTTCTTTCCACCGCGAGATGGTATTGACTTCATATCACAAATATCTGTGTGAATTAAGTCTAAATGATTTGAATTCCTTTCAACCGACTTATAAAGATGTTTAACATACTTAGTTTCCACACATATTTGACATTTGATTTTTCGCATTCAAACTTAGGCAATACTTCCAAGTTAATCATTTTTCGCAAGGTTTATAATTGACATGACCCAAACGTACATGCCATAAATCATTTGACTCAAGTAAGTAAGAAAAAATTGAAGTTTTATTATTATTTTCGACAATTATTACATTCAGCTTGAAAAGGCCCTCATTAAGGTAACCTTTTCCTACAAACATTTCGTTCTTACTTATCACCACCTTGTCGGATACAAAAACTCACTTGAAACCGTACTTTACAAGAAGTCCAGTAGAGACTAAGTTCTTCCTAATTTCGGGAACATGAAGGACGTTGTTCAAAGTCATGACCTTGCCAGAAGTCATCTTGAGAAATATCTTCCCATATCCTTCAATTTTTGCTGTAGCAGCATTTCCCATAGAAAGCGTCTCTTCGGGTCCAGCAGAAGCATATGTAGAAAATGCTTCCCTCACAGCACAAACATGACGAGTGGATCCAGAATCAATCCACCACTCCTTAGGATTTCCTACCAGGTTGCATTCAGAAAGCATAACACACAAGTCATCAATATCTTCGTGCTTTTCAACCATGTTTGCTTGACCCTTCTTCTTGTCTTTCTTTGGAGCACGATACTTTACAGATATGTGTTCAGCTTTTCCACAATTGTAGCAATTTCCATTGAACCGCTTCTTGTTTGGGTTATTTCTTGGCCCAGAAGCCTGCTTCCTCTTTCTCTTAATTTGAGAATTATCCTCAACAATATTTGCTCCCATTATTATTGAGTTTCCACGGGCTTTCTTTTCAGCTGCTTTATTGTCCTCTTCGATTCTCAACCGAACAATGAGATTTTTAAAGGACATCTCCTTTCGTTTGTGTTTCAAGTAGTTCTTGAAATCCTTCCACAAAGGAGGCAGCTTCTTAATAATTACTGTAACTTGGAATGCTTCATTGATGACAAGACCTTCAATGAAAATTCTGTTAGTAAAAATACTAAAAATTTTACTTTCAACATCAATATTCATTTTATATATACCTTCAGCAAGTAGATCATGAATAATCACTTGCAATTCCTGGACTTGGGTAATAACAGACTTGCTATCTACCATTTTGTAGTTCAAAAATTTTGCAGCAACGAATTTCTTCATCTTGGCATCTTCAGTTTTGTATTTTCTTTCAAGCGCAATCCACAGTCCTTTTGACGTCTCCACATTATTGTAGACATTATACAGATTATCCTCCAGTCCGCTAAGAATATAATTCTTGCACAAAAAGTCAGAATGCTTCCACGCCTCAATCACAAGAAAGCGTTCATTCTCTAGAGTTTCATCGGGCATATCAGGAACATCTTCCTTGATGAACTTCTGTAGACATAATGTAGTCGAGTAGAAGAACATCTTCTGCTGCCAGCGCTTGAAATCAATCACGAAAAATTTTCCGGGTTTTTCTGCCGGTGCCAACGCCGGTGTTCGGCTTGTCATTGCATTGGCAGTCACCATCAGAACAACTCAGTTTTCGTTGTCATTTACCATTTTTTTCTGTAAAAGAATGACACAAACAAACGTTTAATAAACGTTTAAACTTGGCAAAAAAATCACGTAGATTTTAATCTCCAACAAACCGCCACTAAGGCTTTAAAACTGGAGTAAAAAATCACGTAGATTTTAATCTGTAACAAAACGCCACGAAGGCTTAAATCTCCAAAACGGGAGTAGACAAAACCACAAAGGTTTTAGTCTCCAGAGCAGTAAGTATAACACAAATACAGAAATAAACATTAAATTCCTTAAGCTTGTTGGTTTTATCTTCTTACTTACTTTATTTGTAAATAATAATTCTGGAGAAAAGAAAGTTAGCGTATAAATGTAAATATAAATGAAACAGTAATTAATTCGAGCCCACTGAATTCACAGTATTTCCTTAAAGAATTTAATCCCCTCCTAGTACCCAAGGTTATGGATTATTTCCTCCCAGGATAGAACGAATTATACACTGGTGTAGCGGTACTTCAAACCCCAGTGTTTCAGCGAACACAAAGTTCGGTAGCAAATTACACTTACGGATTGCCTAATATCATCAGTTCCAGCAGCCAAAGTCGAGCGAGCGACGACAACGATGGCGCGAGACTTGCCTTCTTCTTAACTCTTTAAGAGCTACAAGAAGAGCAATTGTATATATACCCACCAAAAACCTTTTCCTCTTCCAATATGGGACAATATCTCATTGTCAAGAGAGGGAAACTTAAAATTTTTACTCAAAAATTTCATTTCCCCCCCATTTCCCATTCACCTTCTTTTTAAGATCTTTTTTTATCTTAAAAAGAAACTCAACAACTTTGTCACCAATAAGCTTATCTTGCGTTGGTACGGAAATCAGATCCCAATAGCCGGAGATAAATGGACATATGAATCTAATCGATAATATGTACGTAATAGTTTAAGCGTTTGGATGATCGACTGTTTAGCTTACTTTTTTTAATTTGTTTTAACCTTAAACCAATACATTATAATGAAGTTATATTCATAATTATATAGTCAGTTGAATCATGTATGACAATAACATACTACCTATCTCTTTCATCGTGCTAAATATCTCTTTCACCATGAGGCAATAACTTTTGGAAGTTGTAAAATCTATATAATTTTATTTTGCATTAGATTAACTTTTGAGTTATACTATCATTATCTGCTGAAACTTTTTTTCGTTTTTGTTTTGACGGACATATATATGTCCAAGATCGTTATTCGATTTTTATCGTCGAATTTCTAATTGTGCATCTTCAAGTGTTTCGGCCGCGCCGATCCCCACAATCAGTACCTCACCATAGGCCAATGTGTAGACGTGATTTTGTAGTACACGAAAATATTCCAATTTGAAAAACTAAACTTTGTTGTTGAGTCATTTCAGACGTCAAGGCTGACGTGGAATTCTCATCTTCTCAAAAGTTCAATTTCCAAGATTTCTTTCCTAAGTTCCTAACTGAAATATTTTTCTTCTTTGCCATTTTGCATTTTATTAATCAAATCTTATCTCAAAAAAGCTAATGATAATGACAATAACAATAACAATAATAATAAAAAAATAATAATAATAATAATAATAATATAATAATAATTCTCAGCTAAGCATAAAGGGAAAAAAGGAGTACTATATAATGAGGACATATTATTAGTTAATAATTGATAGACAAAGCAATAATTGGTTCTTATCATTTTATCCGAAAACTCTTGGAGATAGCTAAGGATGCAATCCTGTTATTGGCGAAAATGATGGTCTACCAGAAAATGCTGATGATACACGTCCATATCTAAAACTACTATGCAAAATCGATAAAGTTGAGGAGTATATTTACTTCTCAGTGGCAAGTTGACTTCCTAGGGTCAGAATTACGAAATTTTATCATTAACTGATACTGTAGTTTGGTTTTGGCGACAAAATTTTAATTACTGATGAAATTATTATCTCAATTTGATACCCAAAAATATACTTTGCTCAACTCAATTTGCTTTGTACTGTGACAATTCGGAGAGACAAATTGTTTTTCTCTTACTATACGACAACATACCCAGTATAAATTAACATGTGGGATCGGAAAATAGTAGTGGATAGTGTATACGCAGACCTTACCACTACTTAGTGAAGGCACAGAGATAGTTTTCAATAAACCGTCGACTCCAAAAGGTAGGGAGGAGAAGAAGAGGAGGAGGAAGGAGAAAAAGAATGAAGAAAAAGAAAGAAAGAGAGAAGAAAGGGAGGGAGAAAAGAGTAAGTAGTACCAAATAGTAACATGAAAATAGAATAACTTCATCAATTGTCTACTAACCTACTACCTTAATCCTCGATCTCCATACCCTTCTATTTAAGGTCATGCCCTCAATAAGCTAAAGTCGCGTCATGTCATGCCTAATCAGCTCCCCAATATTTCGTAGGTCTGACTCCTCTCAATGTTTGATACTATGAGCTTATCAAACACTTTCTAACTATGCTTCAATAAGGGGTCGTTTGGTAGGGTGCATAAGAATAATGCTGAATATGGTGTATTAGTAATGCTGGTATTACTTATGCTTGCATTAGTTATGCTGATATATTTCTTATCCATTGTTTGGTTTGATGTATTAAAGCATTACACAATTTCTTAAAGAATTGCTTGTTTACAAAAATACCCTCAAAACCAGTCCATCACTCTAAAACTTTTTAAAAGAAACATATGTTCAGAAATATTTTTATACGAAAAAGTTTAAAAAAACTACTATATTGTAATATAGAACTAAATATTTATTTATAAAAAAGAAAATATGCTAAGTATTTATTTATTTACTAGAGATATAATTTTATTTCTCACTATTTGAATTATTTTAATATAATAACTAGCATATTTTAATCAAGCATAAATTTTGAAGGATAATTTTATCTTTAACTAAGCTAATGCATGCATTAAAACCCATTGCATTGCTAATACCATGGTTTTCTATGCATTAGTTATGCATAGGATAATACCAAATATGATGTATAACTAATGCTTGCATAACTAATGCATAAGTTCAAAATGTCTACCAAACAAGGTATTATCAATACACAAAGCTAATGCAAGAATTATTTTATCTAATGCATCCTGCCAAACGAGCCCTAAATGGGTAAAGAATTAACATTCATTTATCTACCATTCTTTTTGGATTGACAAATCGAGCATTAGAAACTCAACTTTTGCAACCATGTAACAACACGCCACAGAACTAAAGGCAATTGATTTAAATGCATATTTACAAATCCTTCCTTCGCTAAATTTCTGAAGTAGGGCAGGGAAAAATCAAATTATAATATTACACCCATATAGAGTTAGGGGCAACTCCCAAAACAAGAGTTATCCAACAAATTTCCATGCTTATGTAGTTTATAGCTTTTTGCCATATTTTCTCATTAGTCCCATAAGCTCACAAGGTTTTGTGACTGCCAAAATTACAACTTCCATTTCAAACTAATTCTTCAGCTTTAACTTGGCCATCTCAAAGTGGCTTAGCATGTCATTGTTTCATTGACATTTTATTTCCTCAAAGATTTGACCTTGAAGAAGTACCCGATCGATCCATCAGATCATATGATCTGACTGCAAATCAAAAACGGTGGATTAATAGGCAACACCATATAGAAATAGGAACACCAGCAACAACTTTAAAAGCAAATGCGAGAAGAGACTCAATACCAGCTTGTGATGCTACAACAAAAGCCTCTCCAGACTGATCCTCAGAATTAATCCTAAATACCAAAAAATGAAAATTATAATATAAATACCCAAGGCATAAAAGAAGCATTTTCTACGGGATCCCGAAACCACCAGCCACCCTGACCCAATTCACGTAGGCCCACCAACTTCTTGGCAAAATGCCTAATGTTAAAAACCACCGACATGTCAAGATCCAAATTCAAAATGGTTCCCGGTCACAGACCTACTAATACCAGTATAATCTGTAGAGGGAGGATAGATAAACATTTAGGCAAGAATATATTACGCGGAGTCATAGTATACACCTGTATACCCATCCATGCACATAGCCATGTCCCCGCTTCTGAAAACACCAATTTTTCAGCTTTAAAAATGAATAAATGTAAAGCATGGAATATGGAATTAAGGCAATGGTCATGCCCATATGCACCCTATACACATACCACTTCCACCCTTCTACCATACAATCCTTTCAGCTTTGCAAATGAATAAACACAAAAATAAAAAGAAAGAGAATAATGTAATGAATATAGCCATTTTGTTCAAAAGACGCATGCGCAAAAGCTTATCTTCAAATCAGTTTTAAGTCATGAAACCTGCAGGCTCAAGATTCTTTGAGACAAAACGCTATAAGCCCAATAGCTCCCTTATGTTCTACTCATCCAATACAAGGAGCCTAAGAAGCATCAGATAAGAATTTCAAATAACTGAACATCCATCACCTTGCTCTGTGGAAAAGATGGCCATGTTTACATCCTGCTAATTTCAAAAGTGTAACCGCTTAAAATATACTAACATGGGAAAGCAGTGCAATCACACACATCCATCAATAAGAGGTTCGGTTAGGATCTCTTGCAGACTTGTCAGATCAGTTCAAGCTGTCTAACCGAACTAGCATAACAATGATGCTATTCTAGAGCTCAAGCTCCCAAAAATAATAATAGTATTCTCTTTATCAAATAAATAAATATATCAAATAAATAAATAATATTTTCTCAAACTATGCAGCAAAAGCTGAAGATAAAGAAAAACTAACAGTGAACTGCTTCACTACTTATAACTATACCTTTTTTATGGTGTCAGCATCGTATTAGCACCAAGTCTAAGTGCACAAGGTGAAGCTGCAGAAACTGGTGTGCAACATCTAGAGGCATCCCATTCCATATCAAAGGCATATTCCAACCGTCTTCCAAGAGATTTTCCCGAAACTGATGATTTACACCCAGAAAATCTGTCCTTCAGGTTTGAGGTGTCTTCCCTGTCAGAAGCTCTTGGGAAATTATGTGTGGGAGTGGTGGTGCCTGTGCAACTAGAATGCGTCGCAGCTTCGGGAAATCTGGAATTCTTCTTTCTTATGATTGAAGGAGTTCCTGTGTAACTCATTGCAGAATTCCTTAAGACAGATTCTGGACTGCTACCATTAGCAGAGACTGTTAATTTAAGACTAGGAGGAGTAGAGCAAAATGGATGACCATTTTTTTCCGTGATAAGGTTGTCTCTACTAAGGTTTTCATCTGTTAAAGGAATCAGCATGTCCTTTAACTGTGGTGGTTCATAATACAAGGAGCCCTGCTGCTTGAGACCCAAAGAAGATTGTGTGTCATATGCTTTATTCTTCTTGTTACTTTGGGAACGAACCTCAGTAAAGCTAGCCAATGACAAACTCAAAAAATCATGGTCAGGATCGTTAACAGTGTCGTGCCTAGACCTCTTGGGAGATTCATACATGCTCCCAAAAGTAGTAGGATGAACAGCCTCAACTTGAGAAGTACTCCATCTTGTGTGGTGCAACTGATCCAAAGGAAAATCTGAAGAAGAGGCTGAGAGTGGATATGATATTTTAGTGCGACTTAAATTGGATTGACATGGTTTATCTGTCTCACCAATTGGAAGAACATCTGCCTTGCCAAATGGTATTCCACCAAGTGGCTTTATCAGATCCCTCACATTTTCTTCTGCTGATATACAGGCTCCAAATAAAGAAGTATCCTTATGCAAAGCATTTCCAGCAGAATAAGCATATCCAATTCTCAGATCAGTTGACAAAGCAACAGCAGCATTATCCAATCCTGTCTGCTCGCCTAAAAAGATTGTTTGTTCTGCATTTTGAGCTTGTAATGGATGCTTCTGGATCTCTAGTTTTTTCTTGTCACTAGAGAAATTAGGAGATTCCTCACTTTCGGTATCCAGCACTAACCCACTTGGCAAATTCAAGTTCGATCTTTTCTTAACTGAGGAATTCCAATGATTTTTAATTGCATTATCAGTCCTGCGAGAGGTCCAAATGGAAAATGGATCAGAAAGGAAATATGGTACTTCGGTGAATGAACCAAATAGCACGCATCAAGCTTAGAACAAGAAATTCAGTTTAGAGTAATTATCATATATTAAGAACTTGGCTTGTTAGAGAAAAAATGATGCATCTAGTACTCCAGGTAATTGCACAAAAGAATGTCGAACTTCCGGATGAAACAGGGTGCACATAGTGTCCTTAATGTATAGTTACATATCTTAGAATACCTAAACTACTCCCGCGAGGAGCTATCACACTATTACTACCTCTGTCCCCTTTGGTTGTCCTAACTTGCTTGCAGGGTCAACCTTTTCAAAACTAGATTGGACTCATATTAGTTAATCTTTTGGAAAATAAAACTTAACCTATTACTACAAGTTGCAAACTTTTTCCCATTTTGATTTGATAAAAAGAGATGCTAAAAGAGTTCTACTAATAGAATGTTTGAGCTTCAAGAAGTAAAATAAGAAACCATATTGGGAGAAAGGGATTCCCAAGTCCGGATGGAAGCGAAACTGGAGAATAAGATAGAGAGAAGCAAAAGTGAAGGGACCAAATATACCATGTTTACCTATGAGCCGAAAGGTTAAAAGCGCGGGCTCTCGTGGACTGAAAAAAAAAACTGAACGGAGGGAAAATGTAAGACAAGTAGAATACTTCAGAGGTAAATTTGAACCTTTTCCTTAAAATTATCTACTTATGCCCCTTGAGAAAAGCTCCACCAGAGTTCAAAATTTTACTACCCTCTGTAAGCAATGTACTGATAGATCTTAAAAATAAAAATGGTTGGGTTTGATTTGGCATACGAGATATAGCACACTTGTAGTAATGATAGCATTTCAGCACCATGCACTCATTGGTATGACAGGGGGATACATTTTGCAAATTACTTGATCTAGGGTCTGGGAATGCCCAAAGATTCCCTACATCAAACACCCTGATACAGAATTGAAGAAATAGCTTTTCTAGCTTACCTTCCAGGCAGAAACCTCGCAATTTCTGCCCACTTGTTCCCATATATTTGGTGATAGTGGCATAGGACTGATTCTTCCTGTTCAGTCCAAGCATCTCTTTTTATGGTTGGGTCAAGATGGTTGTGCCACCTGTGACATCCAAGGATAATATCAACATAAGTTTGCATTGCAGATTGCAACAAGTATAATAAATTGCAATAATCAATCAATGTCATGTTTCTTTTTTCAATTAGAACAGAACATGGAGCAGCGGGTCTCCTTTAACTGCAAAATTCAACAAAGCATTCACCAGTATCACAGTGATCAAATATTTAGCTGCTCCCGGTTGTCATGCTTTTTCTTATTCACTTAAAAATATATAAAACTCTGCCTAATGCGCAAAAATAACAGGTTTGAATCCAGATAAAGGAGGGTTTTGCCTCAAACTATATTACGGATTTTTTATATAGCCAATACCGACTAGTATGGAATTGAGGCATAGTTGATTGATTGATTGACTGTTTTGGAAAGACACAACACAACAGCAAACAGGAAGTAAACAAGAAGTGCTTTCACAGGAAAGAAAATCCAATAGGGCTAAGTGAAAATAAGACAAAGATATGATACCTGCATGCCACAAGAGACAATGAGTTCTCAAGGAAAGGAAAGAATTCTGTAAGTAGACTAACGACATACGTTCCAGGAAGCATTTTACAAAGATTTTATGAGCATGTAAATTAACCGGAGGTATAAAAACATAAAATTAACTGTTTCATAGCAGCAGATTTAGGCAGAATTGGAAACTGACCTTTCCCTACATTGCTTACCAATGCGACCAGGCAAAGACTTGGCAATAAAAGACCACTTCTTACAGCCATATTTCTCAACTAACTCAATAATCAGGTCATCCTCCTGAAAATTCCAAAAGGAAAAAAAACAACTGTCTTAATAATTATAGTCTTGACATATAGAAATTGAACTCCAAGCAAACCAACTGTTGTAAAATCGATTGGCACCTCCTTTGACCAAGGACCCTTTACAAGCTCAGGATTCAGAACTTTCTGCCAGCGATGCAAGCACTGCACATCAGTCCTTCCATTCATGCACTCAGCTATAGAACAAAAGACAACACAATACAATCACACAAAACATTCAGCAGACAAATTTTGTTCATGGATACAGCAGTATAAGTCACTCCATGACATAGCCAGGTATTCAAAAGATGCTAAACGTTTCAATTGTACCAAAAAGGATTGAAAGAAAGGTAGATCATAGAGGCTTCCAAGAATTGTTTCCTTTCACCTACTGAGTAATGGTAGATAATGAACTGTATGTAATTTTCATAGTGCAGATAGTTCGTTAACTCAATAACCAGTGTCAACGTGTTCTGATGTTACTTTCATGGTAAAAGGAGATAACTTAAGAGGCAGCAAATGCCTGCAAACAGAAGTGCTAGCGTTCTAAGTTACTAAAAACCACTCGTACAGATATTTCCCCACGCAAGCCATTTCCCTATGCTTGCCCCAGATTACCGTATCCTGGGGCAGGACACTGGTCATAAAGCGACCAGGAGCAAAAGTAAAGGTCGTTGTGGTTAACCTAGCTGAAAAGTATAGAGCATGACAGAATAAATGGTGTCTTACCTATTTTTTTCCAGTTTCTCCCTTTGAACCTTTTCACCACGTCAGTCAACAGATTATCCTGTGAAAGGAATAAAGAAGTCTGAAATTTCTGGATCAAAAGAATGGAGCCTATGGAAATAGTAAAGAGAACAGGAATTTCTGACTAACAAAGTTTTATATTAATCCTTTCATTTGCTCAATACATCCAAAGCAACCACATGCCTCAAAGAAATAAAAAGGAAAAAGGACATGACAATTCGTATAGATAATTGTATAAGTACCTAACTATCATGGAGACACACTCACAAGGTTATAGAAATTCATCGTACAAGTACCTAACTATCATGGAGACACACTCACAAGGTTATAGAAATTCATCGTACAAGTACACGGGAAGCTTTGGTAGAGAAGTAATGCACTTAAATTTTTAATGTATAAAGAGACAATCATGAGATCCAGCGACTAGCCCATTACCTCTTCTTCTGTCCAGCCTGCCTGGGAAGAACGTTTAGTTGGACCTGAGCTCCTTCGATAACTAGAACTGAAATAGGATTTACAAAAATGAAGTGAAAACTAAATTACATCAATCAACCACCACTTCAATGTCCTTATTTGAGGCCCAACTTCATGATCGAAAGCAAATCAAAAGTTTTCAGCTTACCCAGGTTCGGAGGAGTATCTTGGAGTGCTAGCCTCGTAACTGCTATCAGAGAAAGATGAACAAGAAGCAAATCCACCAAAGTCCAGAGTCTGAGATTCCTCCTTAACTTGTATCATGATCTTGCAGCCAAAAGATATCCTCACACTGCAAAAAGAAAAATTACTATCAATACGAACAGTTATATATTAGTTACACATTCAACTTCCATAGGAACAATTTCCGAGTGCATATGAGAAAAACAGCAGCCATGCCCAATGCCAAGTAAGGGTTGGCAATAGGAATCTATCCATTTCATTCTATACACGTCTGTAGGCACACCTACATTGGGCCAAACAACTCAGTATAATGTTACACTATCTTTATACTAGCCGTCAACCAAAAGGACCCTCTTCTTTTATCTAGACTCGGGAGTGGCAAGAACTACTAATTACACACCAACAAAAAAAAGAAGAGAAACTTCTTTTTCAAACAGAATACGAATTTGTGTGCTCCTCAAGAACTAATCAATCAATCGACTCCGCCTTGATTCCAAAAAAATCCGCTACGTAAATCACTTGTATCCTCTCCAAATCAATTTATGCATAACATTTTCATCTAGTGGTCATACTAATCTTCTCCCTATAGTTCCAATTTCATTGATTAAAGGTCCTCTTGGACAACTAATAAAATCCACAAAAAAAGCATTTTTTCAATTTTAATTACAAAAACAAAATTCAAATCAACAAAGATCAAAACTTTGCACTAGCATTTTATCAGCAACGGAACATGATCAAAAAGTTTACAACAAAGAGAATTATCACCTTAAAAAACAGCAAGAATCAGAAAAAAATAAAAATAAAAAACAAACAGAAATGAATAAGATTTGGAGAAAAATGCAGAAAAACACTTAAATTGTTACGAAACCGTCAAATAAACAGGGGAGGGAGACAAGACAAAAACTATAGATACAGAAACATGTACCTAAAGGCAGAGAGAGAAGGATAAAGCGAAGTAGAATTGAATGAAACGGACCGTTTTCAGTGAATTAGGGTTTAAGATTTAGATTTTTAGAGAGAGAAAGAGTAGCGGGAAACTGAAGAGATTCCGAGGAGTGAGGGAATATGTAACTACTGGAGTACTAAGTAGTAGCAGTACAAATAATGGTTAAGTGGCGGATTTGTTGGGTTTGAATGTGAAAGTGTGTTTGAGAAGGAAGAGAATGAAGCGGTGAATTTTACACTAATTTAAATAATAAATTAAAATAAAAACATATAGTATATTTACGCTTAGATTTTTATTATTACCGATTTTCTCTTTTGCTTTAATTATCTTATTAATATGCTGTCATTACTATATTTTCTTTTTCCCCATAATGTTCCCTTTAATGTATTTCTTTTACTGTTTTGTGACCATGTTTTTTATGAGCATAGGGAATCGAAAACAATTTCTTTATTTTCATAAGATATGAGTAATATATATGTACACACTATCCTCCTTTTGTTGTTCAGTATAATATAACGATAAGAATAAATATAAAAATATATATTATATGTTCAGTTAATATAAATATATAACGCGAATAAGTAAAACTAAGAGTTATCAAAGTGATGGTACGAGGTTTTTTTTTTTTTTTTTGGCCCTTTATCCCTTTTGGATTGGCGTTACAAAACTTACATCGTAAGATTAAAAGATGGGCTAGTTGACCAGTACGTTAAAAACAGCATTGTTAACCCGTGTGCAAAATGGGAACTTTTACGTTACTCCCATCATTTTAATGTATATACATATATTAATTGAATGCGGAATTTAAGAAAAAAATTGGACTGTGTAATAATAGCAATGATATTTATGTAATTATGTCATTAAAAATAAATGAGACTTTTAAGCTAAATTATTTTTAAATATAAAATATAATTTTAAAAACTTAAACTAGTAAAAAAAAGTAATGTTACATAAATTAAAAGTAGCTGGAGTATAAATTTTTTGATCTTTTGTCTATTACTTTAGTCACAAAATTTTGGTTTAAAGTATTTGTCTCTTAGTAAACATAGAAGGAATTACATTTTTTTTTTTCAATTTATTCTTATTATTCCAAGAATTACTCATTTAAGGCAGAGATAAGATAATTTAGTCAAATATTTTTTATGATTAGTATTATTAAATAGGTCATTTATTTTGTACCTATTCAAAATCTTAACAGACAGATTATAAGAATGATGGGAGAGAATAGTGTTTAGTGTTTACTATGAATACTCTTTTTTTTAATACATACTATCGAATTCGTATAATTACCAGCACGTACATCACTTCCTTTTTATATGAAAGTCAAAACAAAGAAAAATTAATGTTTTTTTGTTTCTCACCCGATATCTGATATCCATATTGAGACTCGATTAAATTCGGATTCGCGCCGGGAAATCTCACATTGACGGTAAAGTGCTCCCTAACAAAGGCGACTCCATACCCAAAAAAAATTCATGTAATATGTTAATGGATGATAAGGTTGTCGTCTTTTTTTATCTTCGTTCTTTTAGGTAAGAACTTGAGTACTCGTCCAAGCAATAAACAGGGAAAAAATGTGAATAATTTAACACAAATCTAGAATTACTGATGGAGTTGCTATATTTCACTCATTGTCAACCTACGTCAACACTATTTTAAATGTACTATTTTTGATCCACAATAAGTGACCAATTTGCTTTTTTATTTTGGTTCAAAAGTGTCCATTTATGTAATCAAGAAAAAATTCAATTTGTTTTTCAAAATTACTCTTATTTACGTATCCCTAAAAAATCATTTACTCCTCATTTGAGAAAAGAAGTAAGTACTACTATAACTATGGTGCAACTATGGTGCAACATTTAATGAAGTGTAGTTTAGTCACACTAACTATTTTCGTCTAAAATTTAGTATTTTCTTAATGGGTGTGCCAAAAATAAATTGGTCACTTATTGTAGACCGGAGTGAGTAACATATTGATTGAGTTATTATATTTCACACTGTCGGTCAAACTAGCGTGACACTTTACTTTTTAGAATTTAAAACTACGATACCTTCAAGTTTCAAACGTACATCCATAAATTATACACGTAAAATTAAGAAAGAAAAAAAGTTATTTTTCAAACAGATATATACATAAGATTTCCGAAGAAACAAAGAGAGCTAATCATGCTATGTACAACACCAATAATAATTGACACGAGCTACACAATATATGAGGCTAGTTATAAAATAAATAAATATATCCACCAATGTGTACTACCACACAAGTACCATCTATATAAGCTCAATTGTTCCTTCTTTGTGAATTATTCTTTTACTTATCGATGTGCAATTAATTTTATTCAACTGATAAGAAAAATGAGTGTTACGATTAGAGATGCATTGTAATTATTTAACTAGTAGCCATATTTATTAATTGTTAGAATTGGCCATGGCTATTATTGCAATTAGTTAGTTAGGATGTTAGTTGATGTCACAATATTAATTAGTGGTAGTTTTAGGCGGTTAGTAGAGCATTACAATTGTACAAATACAGTGTCCTGTATATAAACGAACTAACTTTTCTGATTTCTAACTAATGAGAAATATTTCTCCAATCTGAAATTCTCTCGAAACTTCTTCTTATCCTCTGAGCTCCATGTCTCTCAGCCATGGCAATTGAGCTTCAGCTCAAATTTTTCTCCATTAGCTCTCAATTTTGACATGGTATCAGAGCGTAGGAGTCATATACTGAGGTAATTCACAGTTTTTTACTTCATCTTCTCTTCAATTTTTGGATCGAAGAATCTAGGTTTTCTTCGAAATCGTTAACCGTTTGAAATTCTGTTCGAAACTGTAATTGTCACTGTGATCTCGTCTGATAGCAACAATTCTTAGTACTTTTAGCCTCTGGTTTTCTCGTAGTGTGGTTATCTGTCTTGTCTCTATTGAATTTCCATTTCTCGCTTTCGATTCACGGTTAAATCAGCTGAGATCTGCGATCTAAGCAATGGCTGGAGACAAGGAAAATGTTGTAGAAAAGGACAGCTTAGATACCTCAAGTCCCCTATACATGCATCCATCAGAGAGTGCATGTTCAGTATTGGTACCTGTGGCTTTTGATGACACAAGATACAGATATTGGAGGAGAGGTGTACTTAGAGTCCTCTTAATGAAGAATAAGGTTGGTTTCATAACAGAAAAGTGTCAGAAACCAACAATTGGACATGTAACTTTTGATTAGTGGGAGCGATGTGATGATATGGTAACTTCATGGATTCTAAATTCCCTTTCAAAGGATTTAGCGGATAGTTTGCAATATGTGAATGATGCAAAGGAGTTGTGGCAAGAGTTAAGAGATAGGTATGATCAAACCAACAGAGCAAAACTCTACCAACTTCAGAAGGAAATTAATGATTTGAGTTAGGGAACTCTTGATATAACAGGCTATTATACAAAAATGAAGAAGTTATGAGAGGAGCTAAACACATTGAATGCAAACGCACAATGCAACAGCCAGTGCACCTACGGAGCTAAAGCTAATATGCACAAGGCTAAGCAAGACAGAAGACTGATACAGTTTTTGATGGATTTAAATGAGGTGTATACTGTTGTAATAGGGAGAATATTGATGATGAACCTCCTTCCAAGCATTGCTCAAGCTTTTTCCATTCTCATACAAGAAGAGAAGCAAAGGGAAGTTAAACAACTAGTGATTGAGTCCACATCATTGAATTAATGGTCCAGGAAAAAACACCTTTAGGACAAACTACAACCAATACACAAATGCTACTGGGAACAATCGCTATGGAAGAGGTTATATGGGAAATAGACCTAGGCCATTCTGTGATTTCTGCAAAAGGCTAGGGCACACTAAGGATAAATGCTATAAACTACACAAATATCCTCAGAATTTGAAGTATAACAATGGCAACATGGGAAGGAAATTAGCAACTAATGTGTTTGAAACAACAAGTGATGGAACAAACATGCCAGATGTAGGAGTAAATCTTCAGGAGCAAGGTCGAACGATGCAACAATTGAGCAATGAGCAATATGGACAACTGTTGAGCATATTGGAGACATATAAGAATGGAAATAATGGAGACAACTCGGGAAACATAAACATGACTGGTGGTGCTGTTAACTTTGCAGGTATGACTGCTTGTACATCTTCTGTTGAGTCAAATAAACAGTTCTATGAAAGTTTCAAAGAAAATGTTAATTCCTGGATTCTTGACTCAAGAGCCACTAACCATATGACCTATAACAAAGCCTCATTAAGCAATATCAAAACTTTAGTTTATCCTTTCTTGGTCTCTTTGCCAAATGGATATAAAATAAAGGTGACAATAATTGGAGATGTCATTCTCAGTCCTCATTTCACTCTAAAAAGAGCTCTATATGTGCCTAGTTTCAAATTCAATCTAATTTCTGTTCACTCATTGACAGTCTAACTTGATTGCATCATCATATTCACTAGATTTTCATGTTTTCTTCTACAGGGCTTTTCATTGAGGAGGCCTCTGGAGATTGGTAAAGTTAAAGGCAGTCTCTATCTTCACTATTCAAGTTCAAGAAAGAACAATTCTTCTACTGTAAATAGAGTCTCCACCACATCACTCACACAGATCTCTACACCTAGTGCACCCATCTCAGGTAGTCGCAGTATCAGTAATGTACACTGTCAATACCCTTGTAATTCAGCACCTAGTGCATCCATTTCTTCTCATGATTGTGATAATAAAAGTGTAAAAGTTTTCTTGAGTTCCAATAAAAGCTCTTCTAACAAAACAAACTCAATGTGTAATGCATATACCTCTAATGAAAGTCATGTGGATCTTTTGTGGCATAATAGGCTGGGCCATATGCCTTTTATCAAGATGAAGGATATTAATTTCATACCTATAACCTTTTTAAATAAACAACCTTTTCTATGTTCCATATGCCCTATGGCGAGACAAACTAGATCTCCTTTCCTATAGAAAACTACTTCCACAACCAAGACATTTGAAATATTACATGTGGACATGTAGGGTCCTTATCATGCACCAACTCATGACAATCATAAGTATTTTATTACCCTAGTTGATGACTATAGTAGATGTACCTAGACACATCTACTAACCAGCAAAAACAATGACATGCATGTTATAAAGGCCTTTTATGCAATGGTCCAAAACCAGTTCAATACCTCAATAAAGACCATCAGAACTGATAATGGTTTAG